TCTGATTAAGGCAAGATTATGTGCCTGATCTTATCCTCAATTATTTCCTCTAAACAGATTAAATTTATACTAATTGGAGGTAATTAGTTTAGCTCACGTAAGTTAATCTACTACTTACAGTCCAATATTAATTTCTGAATAATTCAATATTGTTTTATATTCTTACTCGCGTAATATTTCAACCTGTTTCAAGTCTTGAAATTAATTTTAGACTGAACAAATTCTAAATTTAACTTTTCTGCATTCTATCCCGAGAATGACGTTTTTGACAGTGTCAACTCCCGAGCTCATATTGTACCCATCTAATATAGGTATTTATCTTGTGACTTTAACCTAACTGTCTGGCAATTAAGGATTTTTTTCTTCTTTTAAAATGCCAGTGCGTTTTTTTTTATACGCCGCTAACATCGTGCTGTGCTTAGAGATTCTTGAAATTAAGATTCTCAAACTATACTTGTACTGAAAATTATTCCGCCTTAAAATACGGCGAGAATTTATCGATCGAATTTACTTGATCGAAACATGAACTTAACATGAAATTTACTATAGAATTTAGGAATACATATATTAATTCCATAAATCCTCCATTCACAATATAACATAATATTTTCTAAGAAAATCCTTGGCTTAAAAATACATGAATTGTATTATTTAAGGTCTGGAATTTTCTCAGTCATTACAATCATTCTCCTTCATCTTGATAATTTCTTTGTAAATATTTATTTACTTTGTAATTTCTAATTTGTATAGTGTTTATTGTAATCTTGTATAGACTTTGTAAGTTCATCAAATTTGTAATTCGTCCCACAATGATTGCACTCTTTTTTCTTTACCAAGTTTTTATCCCAATTGGGTTTTCTTGGTAAGGTTTTTAATGAGGCAATCATGAATTACAAATTTAAAAATCAATGAAGAAGTAATTTTTTTATATAATTCGTTCGTGTGTTCAGTGTTCATTTCGTATTTCAAATTGTAATATACACATTGTAATTATACAAATATTTATTTCAACAACATAAAAATATAATATAAAAAAAAATCGAGCAGCCGGTCGGGCATCGGGCAGCCCGACCGGGCATGGGCAGGCATCCTCTGCCCGAAGCCCGTTCATGGTAATTTTCGGGTCGGGTCGGGCAGCCCGAATATTCGGGCAGCCCAAATATTCGGGCAGATCGGGTTCGGTCATCGGGTAAAAATTCAGACTTTTCGGTGGTCACGGGCGATCCGTCCAAAGTTTCAGCACTATCCCTAAATATAAAGAATTTTTGTATTATCATCCTGTTATGGAATTAATCTTTTATTTCTTTAGAAAAATGACATAAATTAAGGATTTTTGTTACTTTTATCCCCTAAACATGACTTTGGTTAAATTTCTAATTACGGCAATACACCTGACCAACTTTGTAAATTGTTACAATGCAGTTTATTTTACTAATTTTACTTTTACTTGGTCGGGCGTGTTTTTTTTATCACCAATTTACAATAAACATAAGCAAAATGAGCCACATTACAATAATTTAAAGAATTGAGGATAAATCGTTAAAATTAAAAATTAAGTTCAAGCTGCAAGGTACAAAATACAAAAAAAAATAAAAATAAAAATACAATTTTGCAAGCACGTGCCCCCCTCCCCCTCTCTCTCTCTCTCTCTCTCTCTTTCTCTCTCTTTGCAAATTACCGTTATTACCCGCCACCCAGTGGCAAACAACATCTAAATCTAATCTAAAAAATATAAAATATAATTAAAAAAAAGTGAAAGAAAAAAAAAATCTGGTCTTTAGTTCTGTTCTGAGATGGCTCTGTTGACAGCGGTCTCCTTCTCATCCGTACTGATCTCCATGTCCGTCCCGATCCGAGGTTGTCGTCCTTTGAAGAACAAGCACTTGTCTTGCAATATCCCGATCAACGCTTCTCTGAGTCCTTCTTCATCTCCTCGCGAATCCCAATCCACTGAACCCACCATTCACTCTTCCTCTGCTTCTTCTTCTTCCTCCTCCTCCTCCTCTACACCCCAAAACGACACAAGCTTCGGCTATGCTTTCGCCAACTCCGCCGCCAATCCCGTCGTCCGCTTCGTCCGATCCACCGAGTCCTCCATCGAAAGGGTACCTCAGTTTCTCACTCACCGTGAATTTGGACACTTAAAAAAAATTGTTAGGGTTTTGAAGAAACTCTCTGTGGATAATGAGCAAAAGTATTGTGTAAAGCTTCAAGCTTCGATTTTGTGTTGAAACGAAAAATACAAAATAATAGCGATAAGAGAAAATGAAGGGGCTAAAAGTGATGAAGTTGCAGTACCAAAATAGTTTGATGTTTCAGAAATTCGTATAGGCAATTTTGCATTTTCCCGTTTTTACTCTTTTTAAGATGTTGTGTGCATTATGTATGTGATTTTTTTTTTTAAGGATTTCTTAATTTTTATAATTGAGCAGATAATTTTCGACTTTCGATTTTTGGCGCTGCTGGCTGTTGGAGGTTCATTGGCTGGTTCCCTCTTGTGCTTTCTCAATGTAATTCTCCTTATACAAAATTATTTTTCTCTCCTTTTTATTGTTGAAATGTGTCAGTTTCATTCACTTACTATCTGCATTATATTCAGATCAGATTCATAGTAATTGAAATTTTTGCAGGGTTGCATTTACATTATTGATGCATATAAAGTATACTGGAGTAGTTGTGTTAAAGGGATTCACACTGGAAATATGGTTTTAAGATTAGTCGAAGCAATTGGTAATTTTCCTTTCTCAAATATCTCATTTCGCTATGTTGTTAGAAACTACATGATGACTGAAATTGTCTCTTAAAGAGTACGATATTTCTTAGCAAGTACTCCACACAGTGGCAAAGTCGGAAAATCTTTTCCAGTGGGAGCACAATACGAAAATGGTGAAAGGCCTTTTCCAGTAGAATGGGGACAGGGACATATAGCTAGTTGAACATACTTATTCTTGTCAAGAATTGTCTCCTCTATCGGAAAGAGAGACCCATAAAAGACAGAACAGAAGAGGCCATCCTTCTTATCCCCATGAGACAGTAGATTGTGGTGAAACAATTTCATTCTTCGGTAGTAGGGAAGAGGTTATCAGCTTCAGGATAACCCGAGTAGCGTAATGGAAGTAGGGTGCAGACCAAAAGTTCTAAAACCAACAAGGCATTTGAGAAAGAGAGATTCTAATTTACATATTGGAGAAATGAGGATATAGTTGTAGTTTTCCTCAGTACTTGGGGGCACAGCTGAATTTACAAAAGTTAAACACGTGTAAAAATTAAGCTTAGTGGGGGCACATATATGCAACTCCGCCCTGGACTTCCACAAGCATATGGGTCATAGCTTGTATAAAAATAGAAAAATGCGTCTTTTTTTAAAAACCTTTCTGGCTATTTTTAGATCGTGTAGTTTTCTCGCAACTTGTTTCTTTTGCTAACAAAACATTGAATGCAGATGTCTACCTTGCTGGGACAGTGATGCTAATATTCGGCATGGGTTTATACGGATTGTTCATCAGTAACGTGCCTCCTGATGCGCATCCCAGTGTTGATCGCGCGCTGAAGGGCTCTTCTCTGTTTGGAATGTTTGCATTGAAGGTAACCTTCATCTGTCATGACATAACTCCTTTTTGACATGAATATGAAGAAAAGAAAGAGTG